ACTATTCTCTGACTCGCTTGAATAGGAGCATGTGAATGCACTCTAAATCTTGGGGCATTAGTCTGCAACAATATTAAACTAACAAAACGAAATCACAATTTTTGCTACGAAATTATGTTTAACCAAACAACTATAATAGACATTATTTTTGCTACAAAATAATAGAGGAAAAACTAATAGAGGAAAAACTTACACTAGCTCGGATATTTTCTTGTGTTCCACGATGTTCATCGCCCATCCACAACAATGCCATGTTACGATTGCAAGTTTTTAAGAGGAAGTAAATAATGTGTGTAGAAATGCTATAGAGTAAAGGAAGTAACTAATGTGTGTGTAAATAATGTGTGTAAAAATCTGAATTTATAGTAGTGTAAAAATCTGAATTTAGATGTAAAAAATTTGAAGTTAATTTGGTGAAAATACCCTTGCATGCATGCAAACTAGGGTTCTTAGAACTATACGTGTGCATGCCATATAAAGTTTGCATGAATATGACTAGCTCGTCCTTGGAATGGACGAGCTCCTAAAGCTCTCCACTAGCTCGTCCTTGTAATGGACGCACACACACACTAGCCCTTCACAAGCTCGTCCTTGGAATGGACGCACACACACTAGGTCATGAACTAGCTCTCCCTTTGAGTGGGCGAGCTCCAACTCCCAATATTTCACCATTTTTCACATATTTATCTTATATAATTGTTAGTTTACAAAATATATGTATCATAAACTTCTATTGTACAATTCTACACATCAATAGTCTACCATTACATTTTACAATTCTCCAAGAAATTCTATACTCAACAATTTTACACATCAATATTCACTACTAAGAAATTCTAATTTACATTCGAAAATGTCCCAGAGAAACATAATTCTCACATGCCACTACAACGGTGTTGTTTCAGCAAATAACCCTGTTGGATTCTCGTTCAGCAACATAAATACATACGCCTTCAAAATTCATGTCAGTTCTGATTTTTTCCATTTTAAAGATAGAATGGAAAAAAATTGGCACGAAGCGTTGCGGAAATAATTTATCGCCATCCAACACTTTATGAAGACAACTGTACAATTTTTGTACATAATGACGCCGATCAGGAACGACGAAGATGTGAAGGCAATGTTTCGGTGCCACATGATGTTTGGTCAGTTACCTACAATTGAGTTGTATGTCCGACTACTAGACAACCCCGAAACATTTCCGACGCAAGAGACACAGTCACACTAGTACGGGATGAGCCAAACATCCGACGACGAACCAACACAAAACAATTTACCTTTCATACCAAATGAGGAGGTTGGAGAGGCAAGAGATGACGATATTCAGGAGGTCAGGATGCAAGATATTTTTTGTGACAGCGATGACGAAGACAATGAAGATAATGAAGATATTTTTGTCGCGTCTATGTAGCCGATCTGTGCACAACCCATAAGTTTGTACTACCCGCCTGCGCACATGCAAAATATATGTTTCGAACACGACGATACAACCTCTGTGTTTGGAAGTGCTATTCGAAACTATATAGGTGACGAAATAGAGATTGGGATGGAGTTTGAAAACAAGGAAGCTTGCGTCCTTGCTCTGCAGCATTGGCACATAAGACACAGTGTGGACTATTGGGTGTATCAGTCTGACAATGAACGACATCTCATTAAGTGTAAGATACAAGACTGCAGTTTCAAGTGCAGAGCTTCCTTGAGAAAAAGGAACTCGAAATGGGTGATCGGTAAGCTGTCTGGGTCTCACACATGCACTACGACGTTTATGGCACAAGACCATATGAAGCTCAGTTCAAAAATGGTTAGCCATAGCATCAGAAAACTTGTCAACAGCGACGCCTCACTTAAGGTAAAGGTGATCATTGCCCATATTCTTGAAAAATACGGGTATATTATATCTTATAGGAAAGCATGGATCGCTAAGTGCAAGGCGGTAGAGTCGCTTTATGGCAATTGGGAAACATCTTACAACGATCTACCGCAGTGGATACTGGTAATGAAAACCTTCCTTCCAGGAACCATTATAGATTTGCAAACCCTACCTGCGATATCAAGTGATGGTTCCCAAATCTCTGGAAAACAAATATTTCATCGTCTGTTTTGGACATTTCGTCCGTGTATATGTGGCTTCGCCTACTGTAAGCCTATTGTGCAAGTAGACAGAACTTGGTTGTATGGCAAGTACAGAGGAACTCTATTGATGGCGGTGGCACAGGATGGCAACGCAAATATTTTCCCAATATCATTCGCATTGGTCGAAGGTGAAACAAAGGAAGCATTGAGCTTTTTTCCTGAGGAACCTGAGATTACACGTGACACCACAGCCTAATTTGTGTCTAATATCTGATAGACATGAATCGATAAAGAGTGCATATGACAATCCCAAAAACGGATGGCAACATCCACCATCTTCACATGTCTACTGCATAAGACACATTGCTCAGAACTTCATGCGCGAGATTAAGGACAAGGATCTACGCAAAAAACTTGTTAACATGGGTAATCAAATACATTTCACTTATCTCAAGTTTTGTACCACACTTTTATCATTTTTTTCACACAATTTCTGTTACAGGTTAAGCATTGACGGAGGCTAGATTTAATTACTATCGCGGAGAAATCAGAAGAACAAACATGGAGGCTTCAAATTGGATAGACAACATTCCTAGGAAGAAGTGGTCTAGAGCATTTGACGGAGGGCAACATTGGGGACATATGACATCTAACTTGGCAGAGGCCATAAACTTTGTACTAAAGGCAACAAGAAACCTTCCAATCACTGCATTGGTCCAGTCTACATACTATCGAATGAGTTCGCTCTTTGGTAAACGAGGACACAAATGGACCAAAATGCTATCTTCAGGCAAAGTTTTCACAGATGGTTGTAATAAGGGAATGGCTGATGAGGTAGCCAAGGCTAACACACACAACGTCATGCAATTTGATCGTGAAAGATTTTGTTTCATGGTGCAGGAAAAGATTAATTACAACGATGGTCGTCCAACGGGTACTTTCAGCGTTGACTTGAGGAATCGTTTCTGTGACTGTGGAAAATTTCAAGCATTTCACTTGCCTTGCTCCCACGTGATAGCGGCATGTTCTAGCATACGACAGGACTACACAATTCACATTCCAGAGGTCTTCACAGTTCTTAACGTATTCAAGGTCTACAAGGAAAGCTTCCTAGGACTACCGCACGAGGAGAATTGGCCAAAATATGAAGGTTTTACTCTGTGCCACGACGATTCCATGAGAAGAAATAAAAAGGGGCGTCCAAAAAGCAGTAGAATTAGAACTGAGATGGACGACGCAGAAAAAGAGAAGAGAATGTGTGGAATTTGCAGAGAAATAGGTCATATGCGTAGAAAATGTCCCAATGTTGCCGGTCCGTCAAACCGACCGAATAGATAATTTTATTGTACTACTTTTGTATGTGATCCATCAATTATTTTTAATTCAAAACAACTTTCAAATTACAACAATACCAGCGAACTACAAACATAAAGTGGATCCGTGACTCCACAAACTCAAAAATAAAACTCATGAAGCTAACATAAACTCTAACCAACAACAGCGACCAACACAAGTGGATCTGTGACTCCTCTGTTGACTTCGCCACTATGTGCTGAAAACATGCAATGAACATCTTCATCATTTTCTATACGATCTAGGTAGTACATGTACGTCCCCTCCGGGCTAGCATCAATAAGCGTTATATATGGACAACGATACTCCATTTTTCTCACCGTCACACGACGACCGCCCAGCTGCCGAAACCCGGTGTTAATTGCTGCAACCACGGTTCTGAAATTCCATAGCGGATCTAGGTAAACACTTATTTTTTTCTCTGGTCCATAGAAAACAAAAGCTTGCACATACATTTTTATAAATTGGATAAGTTGACACGAATGATATTTGCTGATGCGCAATACGCTTATTTATAAAAAAAATTACGTTTGAGCTCGGTCATTCAATGACCGAGAGTCTGTAAAAAATTACGTCAACATTTTAATATTTAAAATTAAAATTATTAATAACATTTTAATAATTAAAATTAACTATTTAACATTTTAGTAAATCATTAAATAATTAAAATCTGAAATTGTTATTAACATCACTCTTTTAATAATTAAAATTAAAATTGTTAATAATATTATCATTTAAATAATTAGAATTAAAATTATTAATAAATAAAATTCTTACATTTATTATTAATTATTAATTATATAGTTTTTATATTTATCAAAATTATTAAATAATTAAAATCTAAAAATAAAATAAAATAAAAAATTGCACTTCACACGCTCGTCCACTGGATGGACGAGCTCACAAGGCCCATTCTGAAAAGCACTGGCTCGCCCAATCAATGGACGAACTCACACGGTCTAATTTCTCTCTGCACCCTCTCGCCCACTCATTGAACGAACTTGTATGAAAATTGTGTTTCTTGGTACTCTTTTCTGTTAAGTTATTCTACATCATTGTGAGAAAGAACACTCTAAATCATCTCTAATATGCATGTTTACAAATAGAGAACATGAAAATATCATTATTCTTTCTGTTTTTATTTGGAAGTTTTCACTTTACAATTTCTAATAAGATTTAGTTACTACTTCCATTTCCATTTAGTCTTTTCTTTTAACCTAAGAGCTATCAATTTGATGTATCTTGAAAATTTTCACCACAAATATTTTGTAGAAACAGTATGCAAGCATTAATTAACATTTTTTCAATTATACCAGCAAACTAATAATATATACATTACTCTCAAACTATTACTTAAACTTTGTATTACAGTAAAATTTATCATTAGTGAAAAGGGTGGGTCCATAAACCATTAATGAGCTTTGCTTTCCAACAAAAGAGCATTATCACATCTGTGTCTTCTTTTGTCTACCTCTACAGCCAAACCATTCATTCATATGACAGAGTCTTTGCTCCTTACTTCACCTTACTGCTATTTCTCAATTTCCATAGCTCTTAATCTCTTTCAAAACAAGATGGCTGCAACTATGATAGGAGGTGCTTTTCTCTCTGCAACTCTTCAAACCTTACTTGAGAAACTTGCCTCAACAGAGTTTCTTGATTACATCCGAAACACCAAACTAGATGTCTCCCTCTTGAGAAAGTTACAAACAACTCTGCTCACACTCCAGGCTGTGTTGGATGATGCAGAAGAGAGGCAGATCAATAATCTTGCTGTCAAAAAATGGCTAGAGGACTTGAAAGATGTTGTCTTAGATGCTGAGGATTTGGTCAGTGAAATAAGTTACGACTCCCTTCGGTGCAAGATGGAGAAGAATAGACAAGCTGGAAGCAGAACTAATAAGGTGTGGAACTTTCTTTCATCTCCTTTTACAAACTTCTATAGAGATATCAATTCCCAATTGAAGATCATGTGTGAAACTCTTGAACCTTTTGCACAACATAAAGATACCCTTGGATTGCAAACAAAAAGTGCTAGAGTTCCTCGAAGACAGCCTTCAAGTTCAGGGGTTAATGAATCTGTCATGGTCGGTAGGAATGATGATAAAGATACAATCATCAGGATGCTTGTATCAGACAGTGGCACCAGCAAAAATAATAACTTAGGTGTTGTTGCAATTTTGGGTATGGGAGGTGTCGGAAAAACGACCCTTGCACAACTTGTTTACAATGATGAAAAAGTTGAACAACATTTTGATTTCAAAGTCTGGGTTTGTGTATCAGAGGACTTCGATGTTGTGAGAGTAACATCTTCTTCTTCAAAGGTATGGGAAAGTGATAACCTTGATATTCTTCGAGTTGAATTAAATAAAAACACGAGGAACAAAAGATTTTTGTTTGTGCTGGACGATTTGTGGAATGACAATTACAATGATTGGGATGAGTTAGTGAGTCCCCTCACTGATGGAAAACCTGGAAGTTCTGTTATTATAACAACGCGCCAACAAAAAGTTGCAGAGATGGCAAAAACATTTCCTATTTATAAATTAGACCCTCTCTCCCATGAAGATTGTTGGTGTATACTCTCAAAACATGCATTGGGAAGTGATGAATATCTCTCCGGACAAAACATAGCATTTGAAGAGATTGGCAGGAAGATTGCAAGAAAGTGTGACGGATTACCAATAGCTGCGAAAACACTAGGAGGACTTCTACGTTCAAGAGTAGACACAACTGAATGGACTGCAATTTTGAATAGCCAAGTATGGAACTTACCGAATGATAACATTATGCCGGCTTTGCATCTAAGTTACCAATATCTTCCGTCTCATTTGAAAAGATGTTTTGCATATTGTTCGATTTTTCCAAAGGATTATCCACTTGATAGGAAGAAATTGGTTTTGTTGTGGATGGCAGAAGGCTTCCTCGATTGTTCTCAAACGGGGAAATTGGCTGAGGAAGTAGGTGATGACTGCTTCACTGAATTGTTGTCTAGATCCTTAATTCAACAATCAAATGATGGTGCTCGCGGAAATTTATTTTTCATGCATGACCTTATCAACGACTTAGCTACATTTGTATCTGGAAAATTTTGTGGTCGGTCTGATTGTGGTGACATCTCTGAAAAGGTTCGTCATTTGTCATATATTCAAGAACGGTATGATATTTTCATGAAGTTTATGCCTTTCTACAATTTTAAATACTTGCGAAGCTTTCTTCCCATTTCTCATAGAAGGGTTGAAGCTTGCGTATCCATCAATGTGGTTGATGATTTCTTACCAACACTCAAAAGGTTACGTGTGTTATCGCTATCAAAGTATATAAACATCATAAACCTACCCGATTCAATTGGCAATTTGGTGCAATTGCGGTATCTAGATTTGTCCTTCACTAAAATCAAAAGCTTGCCTGATACAATATGTAAACTTTACAATTTGCAAACTTTGATTTTATTAGATTGTGCATGTCTCATTGAATTGCCACTCCACATGGAAAACTTAATCAATTTACGCCACCTTGATCTAAGTGGGACTGACATAAAAGAGTTGCCTATGGAAATTGGCGGACTAGAAAACCTCCAAACTTTGACCCTTTTTTTAGTAGGTGAGCGACATGTAGGATTAAGTATCAAAGAGTTAAGGAAATTCCCAAACCTACAGGGAAAACTTACCATCAAGGAGCTGCATAATGTTGCTGATGCCAAAGAGGCACAAGATGCTAACCTGAAAAACAAAGAGAAAATTGAGGAGTTACAACTAATGTGGGGAATACAAAGCGAAGACTCGTTAAAAGTGAAAGATGTGCTTGAGATGTTGCAACCACCAATAAACTTAAAGAGCCTACTCATTGATTTGTATGGAGGGACAAGTTTCCCGAGCTGGTTTGGAAATTCTTCATTTTCTAACATGGTGTCCCTTAGCATCCATAATTGTAAATATTGCATGACACTTCCTCCGCTAGGGAAACTACCTTATCTCAAGGAGCTAAGTATATCGAATTTGTTGTTATTGGAGAGAATTGGGCCAGAGTTCTATTGTGCTCAGGAAGGAGAATGTTCCAATTCTACCTTCCTACCATTTCCATCTCTTGAGCATATGAAATTTCACAACATGCCAAATTGGAGGGATTGGCTTCCCTTTGAAGGCATAGATTTTGCTTTTCCTCGACTTAGAACATTGAAGTTAAGTTACTGTCCTGAACTAAAGGGACATTTGCCATGCAAGCTTTCTTGCATGGAAGAACTTAATATAAGGGATTGTTATAATCTACTGGAAACACCACATACTTTGAATTGGATATCGTCAATCAAAAAAGTAAACATTACAGAAGATTTAGATTCTGAAGTTTATGCTCAAAGCACTCAATGGTTAATGCTCGAGACTGACTCTTCGTTGCAACATGCAGCTTTTGAAAGTTACTCGATGTGTATTCCTAAAATGATTATGAGTAGAAGCATTTGTCTTACTCACTTGGAACTCTATGATATTCCGTCTCTCACTGCATTTCCCACAAATGGTCTACCCACTTCACTGCAGTCACTTCGTATTCGAAGGTGTAGGAAGTCATCCTTCATGTCTTCCGAAATGTGGAGAAATTACACCTCCCTGGTGAGTCTTGATTTATTCGATAGCTGTGATGCACTTACATCATTTGCACTGGATGGTTTCCCTGCGCTCCAATCACTTTGCATTGATGGTTGTAGGAGTTTGAATTGCATTTTTATTTCAGAGAGTTCTTCACCTTGGCAGTCAAGCCTCCGATCACTTACAATCATCTGCAGTGACTCAGTTGAATCACTTCAAGTCAATCTTCGGATGGAAACGCTCACCGATCTTGAATATTTGATGCTGCTTTGTGGAGAGTTGTCATTTTGTGAAGGAGTTTGTCTACCTCCCAAATTACAATCAGTTGTTATTTATTTCGCAAGAACAATGCCACATGTAAAGGAATGGGGTCTCCAAGAACTAACAGCTCTTTCAAGATTGAGAATTGGAGCTATGCATGAAATGGATGAAATTAATAACACCTTGACGATGGATTCGTTTCTCCCCACCTCCCTTGTGTCTCTCACTATTGTCGGTAAGCTGTCCTTTGAAGGAATTGGACTTCGACACCACTCCTCTCTCGAAAGTCTAACCTTTAACATCTCCCTTTATCAGCTCGAGTCATTGTCAGAAAGTTTCCTCCCCTCCTCGCTGAAATCACTTCAAATTTATTATTGTGAAAGACTTGAGTCATTACCAGAAGATAGCCTACCTACCTCTCTTAAGCGGCTGACCATCAGACTTTGCCCTCTGCTAGAAGAAAGGTATAAAAGGAAGGAAAATTGGTCCAAAATTGCTCACATTCCTGTCATACAAATAAATGACCAAGTCACAATATGAGAATAAGTTGTGTTCCCATTTCAGGTCTGTTTTTTTTTTCTTTTTATTTGTCCTCTCTATGAGATTTGAAGATTTCTCAAAATTCAATTTAATGTATACTTTTTACTGCAACTTTTATTCTGAGATTCATTTGATGTTTCTATAATGTTACAAACCTTTTTGTTTTTATTTTTTAGGCTTAGGAAACTAACTTTACTATTTAATATTGGTTCAACTAGGATTTGAATTCTTTATCATTGTTCAAACTATTTATGTAAAAATTGCACAGAATCAAATATTTTGCACTGTCTTCCTTTCAGGAGAGGCAGTGGATGAATTGAAGATAAAAGGGGTGCATGCTAGTGTTGTGGTTCTTCTTGTAAACTTGATTTAGAGTAACCATATGGTTGCCATTGATTTATGTAGATAGTATTAAGTCTGTGTTTTATCAATTGCATCTTTGTACATTGCTCATAAGCTGTATCTATGTGTTCCACTGCTTTGTTAGTATGTGGCAACATGAAGCATAAATAAATGGAACAAGTTGAAGAATCCATGTTGTTCTTGCTTCTAAACTTATGCAACTTTTTTCTTTTGGCATTCTAAACTTATGCCAGAATCATCCACTAAATTGAAAAAAAAATATATAGTATTAGTCAAGTTTTGCAGTGATCAACGAGGACTCGTCTTTGCGTGTATCAACTTGCTTCCCAATGTCTATTTCGTGTAGCACTTCTTCTGTATGAGACTTGATGTTTATTATTCTTACTTGGGGTTGAAAGCTTACTCTAGTCAATAATGATGGTTACAAATAAGGTTTTTAATCATTGTTATCTACCATGAAAAATGTAAGTAGAAACAGCAAGACTCATGCAACTGCATACATAAATTGATCAACAAAACTATGGTAGTTACTGATGAATTATTAAAATAATTTCTATCTGCACTGCCAACCATCCAAAAACAGAAATTGGCAAGAAGGTTGCGCGAAAATGTGGCGGATTGCAAATAGCTGCTAAAACACTAGGAGGTCTTCTACGTTCAAGGGTAGACAAAAGAGAGTGGACTGCAATATTGAACAACAATGTATGGAATTTTCCCTCTCATTTGAAAAGATGTTTTTGCTTATTGTTCAATTTTTCCAAAAGACTATCCACTTGATAGGAAGAAACTAGTTTTGTTGTGGATGGCAGAAGGCTTTCTTGATTGTCCTCAACAGGGAAAATCGGCAGAAGAATTAGTTGTTATCCAGATCGCTAATTCAACAATCAAATGATGATGCTCGTGAAAAAATGTTTTTCATGCATGAACTTCTCAACAATTTAGCTACAGTTGTATATGTTAAAAGCTGTACCAGGTTTGAAAGTGGCGACATCTTTAAAAAATTCGTTATTTATCATATATTCTTTGTCTCTGCTATTTGAAAGGTTGTTCACATAGATAACATTTTTTTATATAATGAAATCAACAAAATGTTTTTCTATACAACATAAAACTTTAGACTATCTACAAGACTATTTTCTTGCAATTTTAACAATGCAATCCCATAAATCTGTCTGATTCTCTCCCTTGATAATTTCAACACCTTTCCTATCTCCCCGAAAGTTAGAGGAGTCTCTCCATTTAGTCCAAAGTATAATCTTACAATCTCTTGTTCTCTCGTGTCTAGAGTACTAAGAAGCTTCACCACCCCTTGTTTCACTAGCACTCTCTCAACCATTTTCTCCGGAATCATTTCATCCGGCCCTGATATAATCTCCTGCATGATATACCATTCGCAACATTATCACTAATATCTCATCATTTCAAAGTAGTTTGTATTAAGAATGAAGTTATCATACCGTAAGATTTAAGTTGCTTCGATCAGTTATAGCTCTGTCTAATGAAATTGGTTGTCCGCTTGTTTCATAAATAAGTTTTACAGTTGAAGCATTTAAATTGAGAACCTCGGCTATTTCATCGTATGTCGGCTTCCGCCTCAGTCTTCTGCTCAAGACATTGTTAGCTTCTGCAACTTTTGCAATCATTGCATACTTGTATACCTATAAATAACAAACTAACCAAACATTCATATCAATAGCCTTCTTCTAAAATCTTCTCGGAAACTAACTTTGAAGTTGCATAAGAAGATTCAAGTCGGATAAAAAAAAACGTCATAGTGATCGGTTATACAAGTTGACGAAAAAAGTAGTTGGTTACACTAAGTTTAAGTAGTGACTCATTAGAATGAATCAGAGTTTATCATAATGAATTCGGATTCAAGATAAGACTCATGGCCAAATATATACGTACGAGAGATTAGTATCAATTGAGTTCAACTTAGCATTGAATCGAGAAATGACTTGCACTTTCATCAAACTATCGAAAAAGCGCCTCACCGGTAATCTGATTAATCTAGACTTCTTAGCCAAAGCTCTAAGCATAGCTTGTTTAATCCACCAATAAACATATGTAGACATCTTACATCCTCTATCCGGGTCGAATTTCTCTGCTCCGCGAAAAAGCCCAATGGTTCCTTCCTGATAAAACAAACCAAAATGCCTAAAATGAGAAACTTTCACAAAGATAAAAACACCAAAAGATCTAAATATTCACCTGAATTAGGTCTTCCATGCTTAATCCTCTGTTTTGATAACTACCTGCGATCGATGCAACAAAACCACGATAATCACGCGCCAATCTTGCTTTTGATTCTCTTACATTCTCAAGAGCAAACCTTCTCGAGATAGCAAAATTCCCTTCATGTTCTGTCATTCTTTGATTAGAAACTTCAATTCTTGCTCTTTCCTATAGTTATTCAATTTTCAATACACAATAAACACTAATAATCACAAATTATAAGATTATCCGGACACGACGACACAAGTAATAAGTAATAATTTAAAATATTGATACATGTGTCGGATATGGACACAGACACCTCATTTTATTTTTACAGAGATATCAGTGCTACATGTGTCGGATATGGACACAGACACCTCATTTTATTTTTAGAGAGGTATCAGTGCTACATTGATATACCTTGAGATAGAAACAAAGCTCAGCCTCTTCTGTTGAACTCAAAAACTCTGATGTAACAGATCCAACAACCATTTTCTGCCTTAAGAAACTGTTTTGAAAATTCTCTTCTACCACAGCACATTCCAAAGTTTTTCTTCTTTTTCTCCTTCTCTTCCTCCTCATGTCATCAACTCCTATATTTAGTCCTCTAACAACCCCATTTTCACTCTCTACAAAAGGCCAAACTTTTCCAATTCCAGTAGCTGCATCCACATCCACAGCAGTATTGGCTAAAGGAACTGCTTCTGTTGTTGCACCAATAACTGGAGCTTCACTATAGGCCAAATTTGCACCAAACTTTGAAGGAGGAGTAGTAGGTAAAGTTGGTTGAATTGAATGGTGTGTTTTGAGAGATGGAAATGCTGGAAGTGAGGTTAGAGACATGGTAGAGAGTGTTCATATGTGGATTGGGGATGGATGAGATTCAGGTTATGGCCATAAAATGAAATATATATAATTGGATATTTCTTATATTTTTTTATAAGCAATAATATAAATTTATATTCAAAGAGGTATACTACGAGATTTTCAAAATATCCAAAAAATAAATAAATTAATATACCGAATTTTTAAAGTATACTATTTGATAATATAAATTTATATTCAAAAGAAGTATATTTGAAGATTTTTAAAATATTCAAAAAAAAATAATATACCGAATTTTTGAAATAGTAATTTTTCTATTTATATCATATTTTTCAATTGTAATGCTAGATTTTTCGTTATTCTTTTTTTAGGGTATCTTAGGAATCCTAACAATAAAGTAGGGTGCCATGTCAGATTTTAGTGGAGTGAAGATGAAATCTCCCGCCTCAAGAGTCGAGCTTGGTCCAAAGTATACAAATTTATTTATTTTTTAAAAAATTTGGTAAAAATTTATATTTTTGAAAATTTTGATTAAAAACTCATGTTTTTTCAAAAAATTGATAGTGTATTTAAAAAATCTAGTAAAAATATATAAGATTTTGAAAAGTCCGGTAGTGTATTTGAGAAATCCAGTAAAAACTCATTAAACCCCCCAAAAAATCCGATAAAAACTCATGAAATTCTTCAATAATCCAGTAAAATTCAGAAATTTTTCAAAAATTCCAAAAGCACAATTCTTTAACAACGTAAAAAATCACAAAAGATATTATGATAAAAACACTGCAATTGTGGGGGTGCCAGGTCAGTGTGGGGTGGTAGGATACTATCTATGCAAGTTGGGGTACAACACTGACCCCAAAATTCTGGGTGCCTAATTTTTTTATTATTGTTAAACAGAAAAACGTAAAAATAAACGACGATAAAAAACAACGCATTCACTCTTCTCCATATTTCTTATGTTCACTTTGTACCCTTGTTCCTTGAAAAATGAAAATGAAAATGCAGCACCACTGTCCACCACCACCAGCTAACGGCAACGTCGATGGAGACACGACACAACAAAGTAGCGCGACAGTGTTGTTTAGTTAATGACTCAATAATAAATTTATTTGTATATCTTGCTTTTATTTGTTAGGAGAATTTGGTTGCTTGAGAATTGAGAGTGTATGAGATTGGTTCAGATACAGAGAACAGAAAAAATAGTGAAAGATGGTTAGATGACCATGTAGATTGTGAATGAATTGAAACATATTATGATATACAGAAAGAAAAAGAAAAAGAGAGAGTGAGATGGATTTGATTTTTGTTATTTGTAAAAAAGTAAAATAATAGTCACATTAAAGTAATTCAATTGATAGCTTTGTAGCGACATTTGGTTCAGGGGCATGGGTTTGAACCTGCGACATCTCACTTACTCGTCTTTAATAAGATAAATTACAGTCATTAGACTACTTAACCAAAAAAATAGTAAGTATTATATATTAGCTAGTCATAGAGGCACAATTAAATCACAGAGGTTTTCACATTGTGCTTTAACTTTATGTTTATGCCTCTTGTGGTATTTGAATTGAACTATATAGTCTTGACAGTGACAGTTTCATGGTTTGACAGGAATTGTGCATGTTATAGTCGAAGTATGTTCAAGCATGCTGTCGAAATACGTTTTTTGTTTAAAGCATATTCAATTGGGTCTTGCTTGTATGCCCAATTGTTAAGTTAGCTTGTAGCCTAAGTTAGCTTAGTAGTCTATAAATAGACTAGTTCCCTCAGGTTGTTGAGTGAGGTTAATTATTGTTATTCACCTGTAATCTTTGAACCCTTATTGAGTAAGTGAACAGAAAATTAGTGTTACCAATTCTTCTTATTCCTTTTTCTCTCCTTTATAGACCTAAATGGGGTTTCTTGTGTTTGTTCAAGAAACTCAATCTTTATCTCATAACTTTGTTCTGTTATTGACGACATTGTTTCATAACAAACTGGTGTGGTGAACGTGGAGAAGAAGCTGACGTGAACAAAGTATGAGATTGAGAATTTCACTGGTGTGAATGATTTTGATTTGTGGCGCTTGAAGATGCAAGCTCTTCCTGTTCAACAGGGTTTGTTAGAAGCACTAAGAGAAGATAGATGTTGTCCTATCGGAGAAGGATAAGACAATGATGGTCGAAAAATCCCATGGTGCCATTGTATTGAGCCTTGGTGATTAGGTTCTCCGACAGGTTTCAAAGGAGAAAACCGCAGCTCGTGTGTGGACGAAACTTGAAGGTTTGTACATGACAAAATCGTTGGTTAATCATCTATACCTGAAGCAAGCTTTATATTCATTCAAGATGAGTTAAGACAAAGCCTTAGTTGAGCAGTTGAACATGTTCAACAAGTTGATTTTTGATCTTGATAATATCAAGGTCAAGATTGATGATGAAGATCAAGTGTTACTGTTGTTGTGTTCTTTATCTTGATGGAGCATTTATGGGTGTTGATCCATCTTTGGATTGGGGTGTCATGACCACTAGTGATAACGAAAAAATCTACAGGTAGAATTGGAGTCAAAGACGACTAGATTATCGAACCGAATGTTAAGCTTTTCCTCAAGGTTGATGAAAGATTAAGCTCAATTCAACAGCTCCTTCATTGTGTGTGTGCATCCTTTCTTCATATATTTTGTATGAAGGGGTTATCCCATAGTAGGCCATGTTAGACTATGGCACGGATCTAGAAGGGGGTTGAATAGATCCCCAATTAAAATTTGAGTCGGCGCTACCAATTTAAAATTGGTTTTAAAAAAGTTTTACGTGCGGAAGCGGCCGAGGAAAATTATAGTCTAAAACGAACGGTTATTGGTAAACCGGATATACGTAAGCCTATGGATTTATGACAATTCGAAAAAATAGAATCACAACACAAACTATGCTTATCAATTATTTACTTCAGTTGTAAGGTTACCTAGTTCCAATGATCCAAAATTAAACCAAAACTAGATACACAAGTAAGGTAATTTTGGTTCAAGCAATATGTCAAACACTTGGTGTGCAAAGACACTCCAAGTGATATTTATGTTGAGTAAGTGATTTCAATCAGTCTAGTACAACGTTTTGTTGTACGTTAGAGTTAAAAACAACGTTTTAATCTCTTACTCAATTGATATCACAGTTTTGACAATAGAGCTTACACAAAAATTACTTATTTGAGCTGTAACGAAAATGCTGAAAATAAAGAAGACAAGTAATTTGGTGAGGCAGTTCCTCCGTCGTCCTCGCTTCGGGGTACGTCTGCCCTCAATTCTAAAACTAGAATTGAGATATATTGAATAGATATCACCTGTTTGAATGTACAGTTTATACAAGGATTGAGCAGCAAAAATTACAACAAAATCTCAATGTGTTGAAAGTTGCCTTCACTCCTTGCCCCTTGATTCAAGCTGAATCAAGTTCTTCTATTTGTGTTGATGGACCTCCGACTCCAGCCACCTTATTGAAGAACACGCTGTTGTTCAAACCTTTGGCTCCGACTGATCTCAACAGCACCAAATCGAACCCGAGATCATCCCTTCAAAATCACTGAATCCGCTACTAGACTTGTGAAGACCACCTCTTCACAATCACCTTCGCTCGATTGATCGTTGATGAAGAATCTCGTCCAAAAAACCCCCAAAATTCGAACCAATCTTGGAGGGCAAAACCCCAATGGTTTTATTCAAGAAAGAACCTGTTGCAATCTTCAACCCGAGCTTGATTCTCCAATCTAAGCCTCGAACCTTATCACCTTGAATCTCTCACAAATGCATTTCAAAAATGATTGTGTGTAATTGAAATGTTGTGAGATGTTGAAGATGAAGATGATGAATCTTGGACACCTATTTCACTCTTTCTTGTTTTTGAACACATGAATCAAAAGAATATCAAATGTTGTTAGACACAAGTGTTTAAGCAAGTATATATAGTGCCCACAAAATTCAGGACATAATAGTATTTCAAATATGAGAGGGAACAAAGATAAAACAGTTTTTCCGCGCGAACGGTCGACCATAACAGGTATGTGCGTCGACGCATGGCCTGTGATGTTTTGAATTTCTGGAAATTTCATCAGTATGCGTCGACCATACAGTCGGCGTGCACTGACCCGTTGAATTTCTTTTCCTTTGTGCGCCGACCCTATGGTCGACCAAAGCTTTTATGCGTTGACCCACTGGAATATCATTCCTTCATGCGCTGACCCAATGGTCGACGCATGCTTTGTGCGCTGACTGTTCTTCCCTTGTTTCTGATGGATACGCCGACCCTATGGTCGACCCATGTCCTGCAAGCCTGCAAAATATTGTTAGTTTGAAGTTTTTCATGCCTTTAGTCATAATTGCATTTTGTCAACTCAAGGTATATTTATTTTAGAAAATTTAAGACAAGCAAAAGGAGAATATGATGAGTGATATGCTGCATCTGGTTTAGTGGATCTGGAACTCATACTTTCCAGTCTATCCTGGGAATTTGTCATCATCGAAACCTGCATTTACCAATGTCTTGCAGATTTATGTGATATGTGGCGACTTGCCTCCACAATCTCCCCCTTTTTGATGATGACAACCTGTATACATCTAAAACACCAAATATGCAACATATACACACGCATACAAGTATACACAAGCTCCCCCTTTCTTTTGCACTATGAGGCTGTAGAACAAGTATACACAAGCTCCCCCTTTCTTTTGCACTATGAGGCTGTAGAACAACAGTCATCAAATGTTGTTAATATCCTGAACTATTGGCTTTGGTGTTTGCTTGCAACATTGTCTTCTCCCCCTTTGACACCATCAAAAAGAGAAGAGGAACGCATCAAAGAACATAGTACATATAATAGGTGATAGTTGATTACCAAACTTCACACACAAGCATGATAATGAACAAAAATCTTGAATTAATAGATAGTGACGAACACATGTAATGAAAGTTCAGGCACAGATAATACAAAACAAATGAAAAGTACACAGACTAAAACATATAAGCAAATATGAAATATGCGACTATGAA